CCATGGGGGGGCGGCACTGGGGGGGGCCTGTTCAGGGGGGGCTTTAGGCGCCCCTCTCAACCCTGAACGTGGGTGAAATCGTCTTTTAGCTCCACATAGAAGAGAAGAAGATTTTGCATCAGCCAGGGAAATGGAGGGAAGGGGAGCTCCTCTCCAAGGGGCGCTCCTCTCAGAGGCAGTGTAGTAGCCTCCTCCTCCTCCTCCTCCTCCTCCTCCTCAGCCTTGGGCTCTGCTGGCCTCAGGTGGACTCCAGCTGCCCAGCCCGTTTCTGGGCATCCTCGGACGGCAGCTGGTCTCCTCCTCCGGCTCTTGGGCCACTTGGCAAGTCAGGAAGTAAAAGCAAATGAGACCCACTTCTGGGGGGGGGGGCATGTAGGGAGGCCTAACAGAAGGGCCCCCAGAGGTCTTCTAGTCCAACCCGCAGCTCAAGCAGGAGACCCTAAGCCATTCTTGAAAAGCTCCGGGTTGGAAGAGCCCCCAGGACGTCTGGCGGTCACTTCCATCCTGGATTGTTCTGCCAGGGATTCCCCCTCAGTTACCGGTTTCTTGTCCTTTCGGGACAGGTCAGGGCCTCCTTCGGGGCCTCTTGGACAAAGGCTAAGCGCATCTGTGCAGCAACAGCAGCGGGGAGGCGCGGGGGGGGGGGTGGGGGGGGGGGGGGGGGGCGCTTGAGTTTTTCCCCTTAAGAGAGAGGAATAGGAAGGATGCCTGATGAGGGTGAGGGGCCAGAGGGCAGGGGGCTGGGCTAGACGATCTCCAGGGCCCCTTCCAACTCTGTGATTGTGTTACTCTGCTAAGAATTATGGACTACATACAATTTACATGAAACTTAACTTAAAAGGGGGACAAAATATTCTATAGACAGTATGCAACTCCATCAATAGTACATGAGGTACATTATAAGGTAATAAATGTTGGAGATGCCGTGGAAGATTATTTTTATTGATTGGAAAACACCACCTTCTCCTCCTCCTTTCTTCTTTTGTCTTTTTTCACATTTCTATTTTTATCCTTCAGTTAAATGTGTTTCGTTTGTGGTTAATTTTGTCCATTGTTGAAAGAAAAACACAATTCTGAAAGTACCTGTCTGGGAAGTTAATCTGGAGAACATGCAGGAATGACAAGATCGTATATATCCACGACAGAAGTTTAACCAAATGGAAGCAAGAGTGGTTGACTTCTAAGGGGTGCAAATGCTTATAAAAACTGAATTAGTAAAAGCACAAAAAGGAAGTGTCACAAACTGCGTAGTTTTTCCCCCTCCTTTTTCCTTTTTTATCTATTGTTATTTAATTGCAGTCAAAATTGGCTTCTTTTTCCCCCAATCTGCATAAAAAATACCAAGTAACAATGCAGTGGAGATTTAATACTGAGGAATCAGCTTCAAACGGACAGCTTTATTGTGCTGTACAACCAAGACTTTAATGAAATCTGTTGCAATTATCTAGTAGAGGCAGTCCTCGAGTTACGACCATCATTGAGCCCAAAATTTATGTTGTTAAGTGAAACATTTGTTGTGTGAATTTTGTCCCGTTTTATGACTTTTCTTGCCACCGTTGTGAAATGAACCATTGCATTTGTTAAGTTAGTAGCATGGTTGTTAAGTGAATCTGGATTCCCCATGGACTTTGCTTGTCAGAAGGTCGCAAAAATGGACCCCTTGATCCCGGGACACAGCAACTGTCGTGTGAGTCAGGTGCCAAGTGCCTCAATTCTGATCACGTGACGGTTGTGTTGCTTTAAGTGTGAAAAATGGTCATAAGTGACTTTGTAACTTCCAAAAGTCACTAAATGAACTGTTGCAAGTCGAGGAGTGCCTGTATTGCATTGTATTTTGGCTGAAAAAACCTAAATCATCTTTAGGTTCTATTAACTAAGATAGATAATCTTTTTTTGTATGCTCAATGGTTCCAATTATTTAGAGTGCTAACAATCTTTCCTCAACACATGTATGAATACCAAAAGTGCAGAGAAGAGCAACCAGGAGGATGAGGGGACTGGAGGCTCAAACACACGATGGACGGTTGCAGGAACTGGGCCTGGCTGGTCTAGGGAAGAGAAGGACCAGGGGAGACAGGAGAGCATCTTCCAATATTTGAGGGAGGGGCTGCCCCAGAGAGGAGGAGGAAGGGGGGGGGTCAAGCTATTCTCCAAAGCCCCTGAAGGCCAGACGAGGAACAATGGATGGAAACTGAACCAGGAGAGTGTTGTAATGATGAGGCAGTCAAGGTGTTCATTATGAATCACGATGATCTTTCTTGGAGTCTAGTCTTGTATTTATACACATTTATAGTAATCCTCTAACATTGGTTAACTTTGGTTGTTGCTCAACCTTTGTTACTGTCTAGCATAGTAATTAACACAGTTAATTATCTCTAGTTAAAGTCTAACACATGTTTACTTCCTCTCTCTAACCCTCCTTTAGATGAGTAACTTTCTTTGCCTGAGTTGTATTTGCTTTGGAACCTTCATTACCTGAGGTTTGTCATCAAGACAATGACATCCCTGCAATTACAACTCCACATATCCTTGGTTTTTATTTTAAATGGAGGATTCAAAGATATATCAATGTATCATAACTGTAAAGGAGTTAAAGAAGAGGAAGTAGAATGAAACAATGCAAACAAATTTGGAATACATTGAATAAAACAACAGGTTACAATTCATACAATAATAATAATTATAACATAAAAGTAAAACTGTCTTGAGCCAAGACCAACCAGGGAGCCAATTGGTTAGCTACTCAAAAGGTGAGTACTGAGCATGGATATTATTTTGAATGTAGGATTGTAAATTGGCAAGTTCATCCTCAATAGTTTTATTCAATGAATGAAAATGCACAGCGCATCCGCGGTGTCCAACTAACGTACAGAACCCTCCCTGACGGGCTAAAAGATAGTCTATGGCAAAACGCTGCTGTAAGACATCTTGATTTAAGTCTTCTATTTCATGCTGCAAATCAGGAATAATAGCAGCGGTAGAATTGATGGATTTTTCAAGTCTGCAGGTGAGACCAAGAATAGATCGTCTGTTTTCTTGAGCAATTATGCCAGGATAAGAGCCTAGAGTAAGGACTCCTGTAACAGCCCCTGCCAATGCACGGCCAAATGTAGAACCAGAAGACAATTGTGTGTCAATAATAACTTCATCATTACATGTAGGCCCCAGAGAGGAACGCCGCTGTCGAGTTGATGGGAGCGTACCTATTTGAACAGGTAGAGTAAAATAACCTATAGCTGCACATTGATAATTCTGAGGATGCACATTGGTGGCATATTTATCAAAAAAGAACCACATATTAGGATCCTGAAGCTGCCATCCAGCCCATATCGATCCTGTATTAGAGTGATCAGAGGCATTAAAAATAGGAAAATTGTCAGGATACATATCAGGAGCTATATTAACCAATAGTAATATAGCAACCAATAGTAGTTAGAACAATAACTATAATTCCCCAGCTTTTTAAATATGTGCTGGGCAGCATCATAATCAGACCAGTTATGAAGCCAAGTGTGTTTAGCGTGACAACAGAAACACAGACCCCTTGTAAATTGACTAACTTTCAAGTAACGCCAACGGACAAAATTCAATTGCATAGGGGGTGTAGAAAATAGCCAGGAGTGTGAAATAGATTGTAGTTGTGAGACAAGAAATGTAGAAGACACGATCAAGTTAGGGGTAAAAGAAATTTGACCAAATGCCACTGGGGGCTCATAGTATAAAGTAATATTTGTGCCATGGGTCATAAACATGTATTGGGCATGACGAACCCACAAATTAGGGTTAAGACGAACCACAGAAGTGTCATTTTGAGCAGAAACACCATTAACCACAAACAAGAAAATACAAAGTAAAATGGTAACAGAGTTAGCAGTAAAAATAGCAAAAACAGCAGCAACAAGATTTTCAGGAGTCTGAGGTAACGAGGCCTGTTGCCGTTGTTGTTGAGCTTGATATGCAGTAGATTTAACCTGGCCCCAAGTGATGGGTTGCGGGCACTTTGAGCTTGGAAGACGGACTTCCGTGTTCAGATGAAGATTGAAATCCGGAATCGGGTTGTGAAGGCCCTGATGCCATGCCATGATACGGACGGACACAGCGCATTGGAACCCACACTGCTTGTCCAGTAGAAGGATCTTCCACGGCGGCGTAACCATGACCCCAGGTGATCAACGGTGTAGGGCCTTTCCAGGTTGGATCTGGAGCTTGGCGGTACTTTACCAAAGGCCTTGCTAAAGATTCAGTAGTTCAAAAATGTAAATTAACAGGTGAGTCTGCAATAGAATCTAAAAAGGTTAAATAATTCCAAGTATATAATGCTACAGCAATGAGATTTTGAATCTTTCGCAGATGGTAAGGGCCAGACTCAGTTTGTAATTGTTTCTGAAGCAATGCCTTAAAAGTACGATGAGCTTGCTCAACTATAGCTTGACCCTGAGAGTTGTAAGGAATTCCGTGCGCTAAAGTAATATTTCATTTCTGACAAAAGGTTTGAAATTCCTTACTAATATAAGCGGGGCCATTGTCAGTTTTCAACTGAGAAGGCCGACCCATTACAGCAAAAGAGGATAGGCAGTGAGAAATAACATCTGAAGTACGTTCATGTTTTGAAGCAGTAACCCAAAGGAAGTGTAAATGAGTGTCAATAGACGTGTGAAGAGAACAGTATGGCTTAAAGGTTGAAAACTGAGTTGCATCCATTTGCCAAATTTGATTAGCTTGGGTTCCTCGTGGGTTGACACCCACTGGAAAGGGAACTGCCAGTTGCTGACAAGCTGGACAAGTACGGACAATATCCCGGGCTTCAGAAAATGAAATTTTAAATTGCTTTGCAAGCGATTTGGCATTTTGATGAAAATAAGAATGACTAGCAAGAGGATCAGCAGACAAAGACGCAACATCCTTTAAGGATTCATCTGCCTTCCGATTTCCTTCAGTCAAGGCATTAGTAAAGGGAGTATGACTTCGAATGTGTTCTACATACAAAGAATACAAGCGAGTTTCCAAACTATACTTTAAAGATAAAAACAAGGATAACAAATTCTTATCCAAAGACAGAGCACAATAAGAAAAGGGAAGAGATTGCATAGCTAAATACACATATTGAGTATCAACGATCAAGTTAGTCTGCAAATCATGATGATCTTTATTGGAGTCTAGTCTTGTATTTATACACATTTATAGTAATCCTCTAACATTGGTTAACTTTGGTTGTTGCTCAATCTTTGTTAATGTCTAGCATAGTAATTAACACAGTTAATTATCTCTAGTTAAAGTCTAACACACGTTTACTTCCTCTCTCTAACCCTCCTTTAGATGAGTGACTTTGTTTGCCTGAGTTGTATTTGCTTTGGAACCTTCATTACCTGAGGTTTGTCATCAGGACAATGACATCCCTGCAAATACAACTCTACAGGAGAGATTCAACCTGGAAATAAGGAGGAATTCTCTGACAGGGAGAACCATCAACCCGTGGAACAGAAGTTGCCTTTGGAAGTTGGAGCGTCATCCCTGGAGGCTTCCAAGAAGACACTGGACTCCCATTGGTCAGAAATGGGGTAGGGTCTCCTGCTTGGGCAGGGGGTTGGATTAGATGACCTCAAAGATCCCTTCCAACTCTGTTAATCTGTCCCTTTTACACCACTACGGTTTCAAAAAAATGTTGCCATAATGAGGATGAGGATGAAGGTGACCACGGGGGTCATTTTCTAGCCCTGAAGTTTACACTTTCCTTGAGCTGAGCCACCCTGAAGCCCCATCAGACTTAACTAAGGAGCCACGGATTTTAGTTCACATTCTAGTGAATTGTGCAAAGCCGGATGGAGCAGCCATCCCAGCGAGCGCGTTAAAAGAGCAAAGCCCCAGAACTGCCTTGGTATTATATTAGTGTATATTCTCGTTATGTTCACTTTACTGTTACAATATTTTACTTCGGTTCTGCTTAAACGCCTTTCCATTTTTCTTCCTTTTTATTAGTCCTTGACTTACGGCCACAAAATTTCTCTTGCTATGCGAAACATAGCAAAGTCAGTAACCCAGTTGTTAAGTGAATCCGACTTCTTCCATTGGCTTTGTCAGGAGGCGGCACGTTTCCCAGGCATGACCGCTGCAGGGTCCCTGTAGCCACCTAGCCGACATTCGGAGGCTGGGCAACCGGTTCATGTTTATGGCGGTGGGCGTGTCCAGGTGGCCACGGGATCACTTGCTGCAACCGCCTGGGCAGCAAAGTCCCGGTGGGCAATTGGCTACTTAACGACTGTAGAGATTCACTCTGACAAGTCACACAATGGAGCAAAACTCACTTCTGAATCAGAATCAGAATCCAGCTGGAAGGGACCTTGGAGGTCTTCTAGTCCAGCCCCCTGCTCAAGCAGCAGACCCTCGACCATTCCAGACAAGCGGCTGTCCAGTCTCTTCTTAAAAACCTCCAGCAAAGGAGCACTCACAACTTCTGGTGGCAGGCAGTTCCACTGGTTCATTGTCCTCCCTGTTCAGGAAATCCCTCCTTAATCCCAGGTTGCTTCTCTCCTTGGTTAGTTTCCACCCGTTGCGTCTTCTCCTGCCTCTTCAGGGGCTTTGGAGAAGAGGTGGACCCCCTTTCCCTCTTCTTTGGGGCAGCCCCTCAAATACTGGAAGATGCTCTCCTGTCCCCACTTAATCCTTATTTTCTCTGGAGTCTAGACAAATGTTCCACTCAGCAATCTACATGTAGGGCTCAGTTGTGGTTGTAACTTGAGGACAACCTCTGTTCTGAGATGGAAACATAGGCTGACGGCTACTGCCCAGGAGGGAGGACTTAGAGCGCCTCCAGGGAAGCAGAGCTGTGCTGGACATGATCGGAGGGGACCAGGAGGCTGCCAGGCTCTGATAAGGGCAGCCGGGCCCTGGCATCGCCCATTTCAGCACCAGGCCCAGGCCTGCAAGTGCCTGACAAGCTCCAGAGAAGGCAAGGCCCAGGGATAACAGATGATCAGAGTTGGAAGGGACCTTGCAGGTCATCTAGTCCAACCCCCCACCCATGCAGGAGACCCTACACCCTTTCTGACCGATGGCAGTCCGGCCTCTTCTTGAAAGCCTCCAGGGATGAAGCTCCCACAACTTCCGAGGGCAACTTCTGTTCCTTTGGTTGATGGTTCTCACTGTCAGAAAGTTTCTCCTTACTTCCAGGTTTAATCTCTCCTTGGTCAGTTTCCATCCATGGTTCCTTGTCTGGCCTTCAAAGGTGCTTTAGAAAATAGCTGGACCCTCCCCTCCTCCCTGTGGCAGCCCCTCCCTCAAATATTGGAAGACTCCCCCCTCCTGTCTGCCCTGGTCTCTCTCTTCACCGGACTAACATGCCCAGTTCTGCAACTATTCTTGGTGTGTTTCAGCCTCCAGTCCCCTCATCATCCTGCTCGCTCTTCTTTCTAGAGTCTCAACCTCTTTTTTATAGTCCGGTGACCAAAACTGGATGCCGGACTCCAGGTGTGGCCTTGCGAAGGCTTTAGAGACGGGTATTAGAACCACCCTTGTCTCCCTCTGTTCGTGCAGCTTAGGATTGCATGGGCTTTGGGGGCTGCTGCTGCTGCTGCACCCGGCCCTTCCCCGAGAGAGCCTGTGGGACCCTGAGGGGCCGCAGGGCGAGGTGCCAGGGATGGGCAGAGGAAAGTGGGCAGCCCTCCCTGCTCCGCCTGGGCCAGCAAGCCAGGCTGCCCCCTCGCCCGCCCCCCCCCGACTTCCTCCCGGCGGGAATCAGCCCGGGGAGCCCATTCGCAGCTGCCCCAGCAGGGGGGGGGCGTGAATTCAGGGGGCCCGGGCGGGACTAGAAGACCTCTAAGGTCCCTCCCGGCCCTACAGTTCGATTCCTGCGCTCCTTCTGGCGCCGCGAGACCCTCCCCACCCCGGCAGCTCGGCTGACTCCTTGGCTGCAGGGCCGGCGCAGAGCCGGAGCCCCGCTTGGCCCCCTTTCCTCGCCGGGGAGAGACCCCCCTCCCACGGGCAAACCGCGGGGGGGGGGGCGAAGGGCGGGGCCTTGGCGGCAGGAGGCCCTCGGCCACGCCCCTCTCCCGCGCGCGGGGCAGGCCGGGAGCGTCGGGGCGCGCCTCCGCCTGTGATTGGCCGAGCGGGGCGCGCGCCAAGTTTCAACCGCCGGCTCCGCTCCCGCCATGGCGCCCGGCAGGAAGAGGGCGACGGCCCGGGGCGCCGCCAAGGCCTCGGCGCGGGACAAGCGGGTGGACGCCTTCCTGAAGGACTTCGACCGCGAGGGTGAGGCGCGGGCGGGGAGGGGGCGGCGGGGGCGGCGGGGCCGGGCCGGGCCTGACCGGAGCGCCTCTTGCAGTGCGGGCGCGGGTGGCGCAGGTGCGGGCGGAGGGCGAGAGCCTGAAGAAGGACGTGGAGAACCTGTGCAACATGGAGCTGCTGCGGCTGCCGCTGGCGGTGCGCGACCTGAACTGGATCGAGTTCCTGGGTAGGTCTCGACCCCCCCCCGCCCACCGTCCGTCCCCCCGCGGCCCCCCCGCGCCCCCCCCGCTAACCCCGCTTCCCTCCCCCCTGCAGCGCTGGGCGGCGGCGAGAAGGCCCTGGAGAAGGTGGCCTCGGTCAGTGAGTAGCCCGGGCTCCGGCGGGGGGAGGGGGGCAGTGGGGGGCCGCCTCCCCCGTCCCTCCTGCGAGCCGCCCGGCCTCCTCCCTTGCCTCCCCTGCAGAGCGAGGTGGACATCGCGGAGATCACCCAGCTGGCCTCCAGGGCCATCCAGACGCCCTTCCGGGTCGCCAAGAAAGGTCAGCCGGGCTTAGGGTGGGGGTGGGGGGCTGGAGGCGGGGAGGAGAGCCCGCCTGATGCTCTCACGGTGCCCCCCTGTGGAACCAGCAAGCCAGGCTCCCTGGCGGAGTTTCTTCAAGGAGGGGAGGGAGGGGCTCCCCCAGACAGAACGATGCACCCCTTTCTCTGCCTTTCAGGCAAGGGGGAGAGGCGGGGGCAGCGGTGCCTCCCCATCCCAGCCCTTGTCTGTCCACTGCAGGAGGAAGAAGGCCCCTCCTGCCTGTTTGCAGCCCTTTGCCAGCTGGGCCAGCCACACTCTTGGTTTAGAGTTTTCCCTTCCGTGGACGCCTTTTATCAAGCGGGCTCCGTCCTATGAGCCCTCAGGTCCTGATCCCTATACCTGGGCAGACAGGTGTACGTTTGTGCCTGTGTGTATAGAGAGACGCATGCCTTCTGACACAGCCGTACGGAGGCATGGGGTACCAGTAGTAGATGATATGAGCATCAGTGTTCACAGTGAAGCCACCTCCTTACCCTCTACTACCGCTCAAGAAAGAACCGCAGAGTCCTTGCAGCCACAGCTGAGCCCAAAATTTCTCCTGCTGAGGCAGCTGTGGAGGGAATTTTCTCCCACTTGGCAGCTTTTCCTGGCACGGTTGGTAAGGGAGCTACTGCAGTTGGTGAATGTGCGACATTGCCCACCTCAGTTTTGCTAGCCAGAAAGGCTGCAGAAAGTGCTCCCTGGACAGGGCGACCGTCATAAACATGAACCAGTTGCCAAGCATCCCAATGTGGGTTCTGTGGCCACAGGGACACTGCAGTGGTCCCCATTTTTCAGTGCCGTTGAAGTTCAGATGGTCACCAAATGACCGGTTGTAAGTCAAGGATGCCGGGATGGAGCCTGCTGAGAACGGAGCACTTCAAAGTTGCCTCCCTCGGCCGGCTCCCCTTCCTCCAAGAATTCCTCTTCCCCCACAGCCAAGCAGCCCATCGACGAAGAGATGGAAACATCTCTGCTGCCCGCAGGCAAGAAATCCAGGCAGGAGAACCAGGCGGCTGCGGATCTGGAGGTGGCACCCCAGAAGCCGGGGAAGGTGGGTCCCTTTGCCCTTCCGGGGACCTCCGGCTTGGCTCGTTCGTCCTTGGCCAAGGGGCCTGGTGGTGGCTCCCCTCCAGACCCCTTCCCCTTCTGCTACCTTAACAAAGCAGGCGGCCCAGGGGGAGGGGGGCCTCAGAACTGCCTGAGAACAGGTCTGTCTCTGCCAAGCCCCCCGCAGTCCCAAGGACGGACAGGAGGAGGACATGAAGTGGGAACCATGAAGTGGTTGGGAAAGGCCGCAGGATCTGGGTGTGGCCAGTCTAGGGGGAAGTAGGGCCAGGGGTGGCGTGCCTGCAGTCTTCCAGTGTTTGAAGGGGGTGCTGAGGGGGGCCAAGCTATTCCCCAAACCAGCCCAGGAGAGAAGGAACCCAGAGTGGAGGAGGAATTTCCTGACAGCGAGGACAGTGAACTGGTGGAACACCAGAAGTTGTGGCTGCTCCATTGCCGGAGGTTTTTAGGGACAGCCATTTGTCCGAAATAAGCAGCTGGCTGGAATAGAGGACCTCCAGGGTCCCCTCCGGCTCTCCTCTGAATGAAATGGGTGGGTGGGTGAGGGCCCTTGAAAGAGGTTGGTGAACCCCCTGGTCACACAGCAGGGGGCCTCTGGCTGAAGGCCGGCGGAGTCACCCCTCCCTCCTGTGTTCCAGGCGCAGACCTCGACCAAAAGGCCCCCCAACTCCAAGAGGACCCGGCCCCCTTCATCCCGAGCCAAGAATTTCCCCAAAAGGTAATGGCCCCCCCAGCTCAGAGACCAGCCGGGGCTCCACAGAACCAGCCTGGGCAGCAAACGTTCCCTTCTATCCGGGATTGAGCCAAAGGCCCCCAAACTGGGCAGCTTTAAGGCTTGTGGGCTTCAATTCCCAGGAGTCCTCAGTTGCCGGAGCCCTGGGACTGGAGGCGGCGGGGGCCCCGTGTTGTCCTTCACAGAGGCCTCTCGGGGCTCCTTGAAAGATGCCAGCTGGAAGAAGGTGCTGGCCAGGAGCATCGGGGGGGTCTCGGACAGAGGCACCCCAAAAGCCGGCACCCCCCGGGCCGGGGGGGGGGGGGGGGGGGGGGGGGAAAGGCTGGCGCTGCTTTAGGCCAAACGCTCCACAATGCCCAAAGGGGGGCTGAGAGCCAGAGGGCGCAAGTCAGGGAGGGGGAGCTTAGGAGGAGGTGAAGGGGGCCACGCCTGGGTGCTCCGGCCTCCGGGAGGCTGTGCCCAGGGGGTTTCCTGGCCGTGGGGCCTTCAAGCGAGGGAAGGCCGGGTGTGGCCTCCCAGGAGAGCCTGGGCAGAGCAGAATCGGGGCGGGAGACCCCCAAGGGGCCTCTCAGCTCGAAGAGGCTGGGGTCTCTTTCCTTCCGGAGGGCAGGACAAAACTTGGGGTGCAATTTACAGAAGCCCCCCCCGTCTTGCGAGGCGGAGGGCTTGTCTTCCCTGGCTTGCCTCTTGGGGGGCCATAACTGGAGTGGTGTGGGTGAGCAAGGGGGTGGACTGGATGCCCTCACGGTCCCTCCAAGCAGGAGGGATTGCAGCCTAGGGCTCTGGCAGCCAGTTGGAGGGCCCCGACTGGCCACTGACCCGGTGGCTGCTGTGTTTTAGCAAAGTGAGCCACGCCACTCCGGTCATCCGAGGGAACCCCACGAAAGCCACCACTCCTCTGTTCACCCCTGCTGGCAAGTTTGACTCCAGGTGAGCCCCTCTGCCAGGCGGGTCTCGGGGGCTGCCTCGGGGCGGGGCTGGCTGGTAGAAGCTCGGGGGGGGGGGCGCGCGTCCGCCTGACCTCCCCTGCTTCTTCCCCCCCCCCCAGCATTTTCAGGACGCCCGGCCTGCGGGCCCCTGCTGCCCACGAAAGGGTCTTCAGCATCTCGGTGAACGGCAGCCCCCTGGCAGACAGGAGCGAGGTCTTCCTCACGGTGCCCCTGGGCGGAGGAGAGGTGAGGGGCACAGGGAAGGGGGGGCGTGGGGGCTTTGGGACGGAGGCCCTGCGGCCCCTGCATGGCCTGGAGGGGAAGCTGCTGGGGTTAGGAGGGCTGCCTGCTCCTCCTCCAGAGTAACGGGCCCTTTGTCCTCTGCGCAGAACGTCCGGATCAGGGCCAGCGAGCTCTCGGAGAGGGACCTGCGGGGGCTGAACGCCCAAGCCCTGGGCAGCGTGAAGAAGCTGTCGGTAGGCCTGGCTGGGTTTCTCCCTTGTCCCCGGGGGCCCTGCGCCCCCCCCATCCTTCCCGGAGGCCTGGGGTCTCCCTGGGGGGAGGCTCGGCCTCTGGGTCCCCCAGGAGCCCTTCCTGGGGGCCCCTCCCTGACTGCCAGGGAGACGCAGCAGTGGAGCCCCCCTCCTAGTGCGGGGGGGGGGCTGGGGGCCGGCTCCATTTCGCAGCACCCGGAGGGGCTGGAGAGAAAGTAGGTGTGGGGCAGGGGCCGGGCCTTGAGTGCTGGGAGGGGCCGCTGCTGGGGGGGTGCCTCCCCCCCCTCCTCCTCCTCCTCCCTGAGTGGGCCGGGGCTCCACCCTGCGTGGCTTCCCACCTGGAGCAGGATGGGAGGAGCCGGGCGGCCGGGGTGGCCCCTTGCAGCCGCCGGGAGGGGCTGGGCCCGCTGACCCTCGGCTCCTCTCCTTCCAGAGCCAACTTGCGCACCTCTGCAGCCGAGTGGGCGGCCCCAAGTGAAGAGGCTTCCGAGCAGCAGCTGCCTGTCGCTTTGGTCCTGGCCTGGGGAAGGGGAGATTGGGCTCAAGGGCCCCCTCCAAAGGGTTGCCCTCCCCTGCCCCCCGTCCGGCACCTCCCTGCCCTGCCCAGAGTGCCGCCACTGCTGCTGCTGCTGTGCCCCAGGGGGCCACCCTCCCTCCTCTGGCCCCTCCTGCTTCTCCCGGCTGCCCCCGTCTGCAGGGGCGAGAGCAGGTGGCCTGGGCCCTTCTCAGCCCCCCGAGGGGGTGGGGGGCAGCAACAGGCAGACACGGCCCCAGGGCGAAGGCCGGCTGCTTCCTTTTGGGGGGGGCAGGGGGGGCCTTCCATTCCGAGCCCTTGGGGGGTTTTCTATTTATCATCTTCCGTGCAAGGAGACCGTTTCCTGGTTGTTTTTGCAATTAACAATAAAGTTTGTTTTCTTACTGAAGGTCTGTGTGGCTTCTTACCCCCACCCCCACCCCTGGTCCCCCCCCTGCCCAGAATAATATGGGGGGGCCCTTCTGGACCCAGGGACCCTCGATGGGGGTGTGTGTGTGAACCCGCCCGCCCGCCCCAGTGCCAGGGCAGTCGACCAGCGTTCTGGAGAGGAGCCGTTTGGGGAAGGGGGGTCAACACTGGACTGGAAGGAAGACCTGGAGACCCCCGAAGAGGGTCAGTGAAGCCCCGAGGACGATGGCCAGGCAGCTAGAAACTCTCCAGAGGCTGAAAGGGCTGAGCAGGCGGGGGGGGGGGTCGTTTTCTGTCAACGGAGGTTGTGGGGAAAATGGGAAGAAGAAATAGATTTGCTGCCTTGCGTTGTTTATAAAAGAGAATGAAAGTGGGCTAGGAATGAATTAGAAATTTTTAAAGATGAACGTTACCAAGGACACAGGTGGCACCAGGGCAAAACCGCCGAGGCTTCTGCAGCTGCATGGGAGACCTTGGAGGGCAGCTGCGCACTCACAGCCTTTGCGTTGCCCAGAGTTGCTTTCAGTGCGACAGGCAGCCGCCATTTCACCACAAGGAAGTCATGTGGTCAGCCAGATCCAGGGTGGTGCCCAGCAGCCTTTGGCACTGGATTCTCCGTGGCGGGGGACAGCGGGGCCTTCCGGGTCTGAGGCCACCTGCTTGTTCAAGCCAAGCGGGCAGGTTCCCCGGGGAGCGATCTGAGTTTTGGCCCAGCCCAAGACTGACCCCTCCCACGATTGCCTGCCCAATGAGCCACGCGTGGCTTGGAAGCCGCCTGGTGGCCCCTGAGGACACCCAGGTGAAACTCACCAAGTCCCTCCCCAGCAGAGCTAGTCCTCAAGGAACTCTTGGGGACGGAGGGGGGGCAGCCAGTCAGCCGGTGGGGAGGGTTATCAGCTGCCCCCTTGGAACCCTTCAAGCCGCCGCCTCTTCTTTCCTTGGGGAAAACCACCAGCCGCGCGAAGCTGGAAAACGGCCTCCTGGGGACGGAGGTGTGCTCCGCTTCTCCAGCCCTTGGGGCCGAGGGAGCTCGTCCTCCCTTGCCAATTTCTGCCCGAGGGAAGATGAGGCAAGCCTGTCCTTGGGGTCCCCCTGGAAGCCGGATAAGTCGTCCTCTCCCTGGCATGGCCGAGTCCTTTCTCCTCGCCAGAAGAAGAAGAAGAAGAAGCCGCCGCCGTTCAAGAGCTGCCTCATCTCCCTCCGCTGGTGAGTCACTGCTAGCCAGCCTATTGCCCACCTTGGAGCTTCGGGCACCAGCCAAGGGCCGGTTCTGCACACCAGGGGTGTCCAACCTTGGCAACTTGTGGACTCCCAAACTCCCAGAGATCCCCAACCAACTGTGGAGACAGACCCCTGCTGTAAACTGAAGGCTGCTTTCGCTTGGTGACTGCCAAACGCACAAAGGAGCTGACAAAATGGAAATGTTTGCTTATCGGACATACCAGTAGAATCATATTTTGCAAGGATTGGGGCAACCAGCCAGGGCTGGAATTTGGGGCATCCCTTTTCTTCGAGGTATCTTTTCCTACCTGGCATCTAGATCGGAGAATCTGACTGAGTGCAATAATCCACAGGCATCTCTCATGCGGGGAAGTGCCTGTGTTTTTATGGCCTCACCAAGTCCAGTCATGGAATAATCTTAATTATTTATTAAATGATAGTTATCCTTATGCAAAATAAAGTATATGCTATTATACTATACTTCAGCATAATTTAGTCAAAGTAGACTGTACTGCATTGATAATGGCCCCAAAAAAGGTTGCTTTTCCCCCCCCAAAATGGAAGCGCTGTTAAGCCTTGTGCCGAGCGGCTGGCTGTGTTTCCCTCCTGAACTCTCAGAATAACGGAATCACAGGGTTGGAAGGGACCTCGGAGGTCTTCTAGTCCAGCCCCCCTGCTCAAGCAGGAGGCTCAATACCATTCCACACAAATGATTGTCCAGTCTCTTCTTAAAAGCCGCCAGGGGTGGAGCAGCCACAACTTCTGGTGGCAGGCAGTTCCACGAGTTAATTGTCATCCCTGTTAGAAAATTTCTCCTTCGTTCCCGGTTGCTTCTCTCCTGGGTGAGTTTCCCTCCGTTGCTTCTTGTCCTGCTGCCTTCAGGGGCTTTGGAGAAGAGGTGGACCCCGCTTTCCCCGTGGCTGTTCCAGGACGGGTTTCCCAGGGTCAGCTCCCAGGGCAATTCTCTTATTTGGTTATATTTACAAACAACAGTTTCCATGGGGGAGAAAATAGTCCAATAAGCTATATTGGATTTCTTTCTGGTCCAAATACTTAGAACAGAATGAGAGTAGAATGAGAGTAGAGCAGAGCAGAGCAGAGCTGGAAGGGTCCTTGGAGGTCTTCTAGTCCAACCCCCTGCTCAGGCAGGAGACAAGTGGCAAGCAGTTCCACTGGCTAATTGTCCTCCCTGTCAGGAAATTCCTCCTTAATTCTTCTCTCCTGGGTGAGTTTCCCTCCGTTGCTGCTTCTCCTGTTTCTTCCTTCAGAGCGTTTCGTTCATGTCTCTTCTTTGAAGCGCTTCTCCGAATATTGCCCCGTCACTCATTGCAGCACCGCATCTTAGAAACCCCAGCGGCCACGCAGTTCCCACTGAGGCGGCAGCTGCTTCCCGCTGGACGAGAGCCACGGCCCCCCAACGGTAAGGTCTCCCGCTTCTGTCTCGGCAGAGTCCTCCCCCGGGGGATTGGACCCCGGCCTGGGGGCGATGAGTCGGCATGCTTCAGGAGGCCCAACCGCCCAGCAACCAGAGCAGCCTCCCCCCCGCCTCCTTCATCCTGGCGGGCATCCCCGGCCTGGAGAAATACCACCGCGGGATGGGGGTGGCCTTCTGCCTGATGTACCTCTTGGCGCTTCTGGGAAACCTCTCCCTGCTCTTCCTCATCCGGGCGGAGCAGAGCCTCCACCAGCCGATGTACCTCTTCCTGGCCATGCTGGCGGTGGCCGACGTGGCCCTGTCGTCCTCCACCGTGCCCAAGACCTTGGGCGTCCTCTGGTCCTACTCCAGGGAGATCTCCTTTGAGGGCTGCCTTGCCCAGATGTTCTTCACCCACATCAGCTTCATCGCGGAGTCCACCATCCTGCTGGCCATGGCCTTCGACCGCTACGTGGCCATCTGCTGGCCGCTGCAGTACACCTCCATCCTGTCTCCCTCGGTGGTGGCCAAGACCGGCCTGGTGGCTCTGGCCAGGAGCTTCTGCGTGATGTTCCCCACCATCTTCCTCCTCAAGAGGCTGCCGTACTGCGGGAGGAGGGTGATGCCCCACTCCTACTGCGAGCACATGGGCGTCGCCCGCATGGCCTGTGCCAGCATCGCCGTCAACATTTGGTACGGCTTCGTGACCACCCTGCTGTCTCCCGGCTTAGACATTTTCCTCATCGCCGCTTCCTACCTCCTGATCCTCAGGGCCGTCTTCAGGTTCCCCTCCAAAGACGCCCGGCTGAAGGCCCTGGGGACCTGCGGCTCCCACCTCTGCGTCATCCTGATGTTCTACACCCCGGCCTTCTTCTCCTTCTTCGCCCACCGCTTCGGCCACGGCATCCCCCAGTCCGTGCTCATCCTCCTGGCCAATCTCTACCAGCTGCTGCCTCCCATGCTCAACCCCATGGTCTATGCCGTGAAAACCCAGCCGATCTGGAAGAGGCTCGTCAGGGCCTTCGGCAAATGAGGCCGGGGCGGGGGGGGGTCCCCACTGTGAGCCACCCCCACCCACTCCTGTCTCTGTTGCTTGGGATGGAAACGGTTGGACTCTCCTCCATCCTACCAAAGGCGTTTTTATTCTCCTCCTCCTTTAAGGCTTGTTTTGCTCTTGAGTTACGGGGTGATAAAGCTACTTCTCTGCCAAAAAGGAGACATTTCTTTGCCTCCTCTTAAAATGATGAGGGTTTTTCCCCACCTTTTCTTTCTTTTCAATATTCAGAGTACCACATTCCAAGATCTTTTCAATTTTTCACACTGAAAATGAAGCTTTGGAGGTGTTCTAGCTGGTATCTAGGGAGGCTCTTCCGAGAACCAAGGCGTGCTCTCAGAGATTAAGCCGCTTTTGCAATCATTGCTCAGGACAAAAAGAACTGGTCACAAACATGCCTCAAACTGCCCAAGGAGCCGCTGATCCAGTTCCACAGAGGAAGGATGGAGTCTGTCATCCGCACCTCTATCACGGTCTGGTTTGGTTCTGCAACCCAACAGGACAGACACGGACTCCAGAGGGTAATTAGGACTTCCTATCTTCCATGGAGGATTTGTATCTTGCACGAGTGAAAAAGAGGCGGTGAACATATTTACAGACCCCTCACATCCTGGACATAAATTGTTTCGACTTCTACCCTCAAAACGACGCTATAGGGCCCTGCACAAATAGACACTAGGAGAGTTTTTTCCCAAATGCCATCACTCTGCTAATAATAATAATAATAATTCCCTCAACACTGTCCAACTATTTACAATGTCTGCACTACTATTACTATTAATCTCCTCATCCCTCCTTATCCACCCATCCCCTCCCACTTGTGACTGTATGATTGTAACCTTGTTGCTTGTATCCTCACAATTTATATTGACTGTTTCCTAGTATGATTTGATTGCTTATTTGTACCCTCTGACTATCATTAAGTGTCGCACCTGATGATTCTGGACTCTTGATGAATGTCTCCATTCTTTTATGGACACTGAGAGCCTTTGCACCAAGACAAGTTCCTTGTGTGTCCAATAAACACACTTGGCCAATGAAGAATTCTCTTCTATTCTATGCATTTCTATCCCCTTTTCTTTTCTGTATTCCATTCTGTATTCTCTCCTTTTCACCTCCCCAGGCCCAGGTGGGAGAAGGCGGAGAAAGGCCAGGAGCCAGAGGGCGTCTCTCTCTTGCCTCGGGTTCAGATTTAGCCTCTGATTTGGTTCCCTGGTTCTCTCAGCCGGTATCAGCTGCACCAGGGAAACAGGACAGGAGAGCCAGCCGGGTGAGCTGATTCTACTTTGTGGCATGGTGACAGACATTAACAGACTCTTGCAAGGGGTGTTCTGCCTTCAGAAAGGTGCAGATTTCCCGCCACCCTTTTGAGCATCCGGTGAACGAGGGCAGGTCTTTCCTAAGTTCCTTCCTCTGACTAAGCCACCGGGAGCTCCCTCCCTCCTGTCCTGCATCCAAGGCGGCCTCTCTTCTCACATCCACTCTCACCAGTTGGACTTCGAGGAGACGCTGCCGGAGCTGCTTTCCGAGGGGATGAGCAGCTGCAGCCAACTGCGGGGGCTCTGCGAAGCCACCAGATCCCATGTTTTCCGAAAAAGAGGGTGCCTTTCTCAGAATAGACTGGGGCTGGTTATCTTGTTTTGGTCCGGGGTGAGTCGGCCTGCCAACCGGGAGAGCTCACGCTGGAGGCGAGATGAGCCGAAATCCCCCCGCCCCAGGATGGCAATTCCTGACTCTTTTCCAGGTCAGAGAAGGGGAAGGTGTACCTGGCCAAGAGGTGTGCATTTCTCTCCTTTGGCTCGTAGGCTGAGTGTCAGGTTGCACTCGGGATTCCCCCGCTCCCTTCTTTTTCTCTCTTTCTCTCTTTCTCTCTCTCTCTCTCTCTCTCTCTCTCTCTCTCTCTCTCGCCTGGTGGAGAAACAAAGAAAAGCTAAAGGAGGGAAGGAAACAACCGGTCCACTAATGGGAGAAGATTGCAAGACGGCGGCAAGCGGCAGGGAGAAAACAGAACCACTTTATTCGTAATTACACAAAAGGAAAAAAACAATTCAACTTCTCAAAAGTAAAAGATTAGGAATACAAATCAAAATAGGCAAGAAAATGATAAGAGGACATTGTTCCATTCTAGATGGGATGACATCTACTGGCAGGAATAGCCAACACCCCAGAAGATTAGATTGGATTGGATTGGATTGGATTAGATTAGATTAGATTAGATTAGATTAGATTAGATTAGATTAGATTAGATTAGATTAGATTAGATTTGTTTCATTTATGGTCATTGCACCTTGTACAATGAAATTAAATACCATCTTCAGTGTACATTATGACTATGAAAATAAACACAAACCCTTCACATTCTATATGTTGAATTGAAAACCCCTGATATTGCATTAATATTGCATTATACAGTAGAATTCAATATACTTCCCTGGGATAGAAGCTGTTTTTCAGCCTATTAGACTCATGATCCAGAAGGGTCTTGACGGATTTGAACACTGAGCCCTTCCCAACAAAATGCAATCCATTGGTGAGAAAAGGAAGGAACTATACTTAGGCAAGGGAAAAAAATGGCTCAATGGGAGCAACTGGGAGAGCGATCTCGGAGTCCTATGGACAACCGTTTAAATAGGAGCCTGCCGTGTGCAGCAGCAGCTGCCAAAAAAGCCAACACAGTTCTGGGCTGCTGTGTTGAGGGATAGAATCAAGATCATGTGAAGTGTTGATGCCACTTTATAAGGCCTTGGGAAGGCCACACTTGGAATATTGTGTCCAGTTTTGGCCACCACGATGTAAAAAAGACATTGAGACCCTAAAAGGAGCGCAGAGAAGAGCCACCAAGAGGATGAGGGGACTGGAGGCTCAAACATATGATGAACGGTTGCAGGAATTGGGTATGTCTGATCGAGAGAAGAGAAGGAGTAGAGGTTACATGATAGTGTTCCAATGTTTGAAGAGCCATCACAAAGAAGGGAGGGGTGTGGGGCTCAACCTATTGTCCAAAGCACCCGAGGGCAGATCAAGATGTGACAAGTGGAAGCTTGTCAAAGAGAGATTCAACCTAGAACTATGGAGAACTTTCCTATCGGTGAGAACAGCGGATCAGTGCGATGGGAGTTGCCTGCAGAAATCGCGGGTGCTGCAACACTGGAAGTTTTCCAGAAGAGACTGGGCAGGCATTTGTCAGGAATGGTATAAAGTCTCCTGCTTGATCAGGGGCTGGACTAGAAGACCTCCGAGGTCCACCGGTGTATTAACCGCGAAGCAGACTAAGCCCGTGCTTAGGACACCAGGCCCAAGGAGGGCACCACAAAGTGGAGAATGTGGCTTCGGTTCTACAGTATGTTCAAAGGGTGGGGGGGTGGGGGGGGCACCGAGATTTGTCAGTGCTTAGGGCCCCAGGGAGCCTTAATCAGGGGTGGGATTCTGTCGGTTCGGACTGGTTTGGGCGAACGGGATGTTAAATTTGTATCTGGTTCGGCACTTCAGTATTTGGAGCGACCGTCTGGCCCTCCCCTCCCCTCCCCTCCCCTCCCAGGAGTCTCTACCCGGCCCATTTTCGATGCAAGTGAGTGCAGGGTCCATGCGGAGGATCTGGGAGGGGGGAAATGGGCCTTCCGGAAGTACTAGAAGTTCAGAAACGGGCTTGTTTCTGGCTCCCGGGGGGCCTCCAGAGCCCGGGGGAGGCAAAAAACGCCCCTCCCAGAAGTTCTGGCCACGCCCACCCAGCAACTGGGCAGCGAACTGGTTGCTGGGATTTTGGCATCCCACCCCTGGCCTTAATCCACCATTGCCGAGGTTTCTCCTAACTCTGTTATTAATGTCAGCTTCATTTAATGCCTCCCATAAACTTCACTGTTCCAAATGTTCTTTGGGCCTCTAATCTCCCAGGACTTTTGCAACGTCCCGATGACTGAGCTGCTTCAGCCCTTCCACGGGGATTATGGCTTTCCCTCTCGTGGTTTATTGCTATGTTATGAGGGTGCCTTTCGTGCTATGGGTGGGCTCTGCTCTGTTGCACCCCAGTCAGCAGGATTGGGGTGGTTGTAAATAAAGAATCGTGCTGAATAGAAGCTGCTCTTCTTTCGTCTCACGGAAGCTGCCTAACGGTAAGAACAGCCACTCTGACTTGGGCCTCTGGGCGACCCCTTCCTTGCAACGGAACCTCTGAGTAGGTACCTACAGGAGGCAAATCTGATGTGTCCCCAATCCTCCGCCCCCCCCCCCCCCCCGTTCCATAGAACAGAGGTCTCCAACTTGGCTACTTTAAGACTGGTGGACTTCAAGTCCCAGAATTCCCCAGCTAGCTTTGCTGGCTGAGGAATTCTGGGAATTGAAGTCCACAAGTCTTAAGGTTGCTAAGGTGGGAGAGCCCGCCCTAGAAAGCCCCTCCCGCTCCCAGACCCCTGGCCCTGCCTGGTGGCAGGTTCTGAGCTTGGAGAGCTTGGTCCTGCAGTGGGAGGAATCGGAGCAAGAAAGCCGGTTATCAGCCACTGTGACCAAACCAGCTTCACCTCCTTTCCTGCACCAGGCAGGCCTTCCGGTTCAGGGGATCACGGAGAATTTTAGCTTAGGAAAAAGAGGGAGTGAAACGGCGAGGAGAGACTGCATGTGTGCGAGCTCCATTCGATCGTTTTAAGGCTTGCCTGAAAGATTGGCTAGGAGCTTTTATGCCTGAATTTTAAGTGAAGCACGGAGGGTGAGCATCCGCGGGGGTCTGCCTGTGAGAAGCTAACTTTACTGCAGAGGAGCAGTGTGCCAACCCCTTAACTAGGGATTCTTTTGTGTCCCGCCATTATTACTTTTACAAATGACTTCAGACAGTGAACGTATCTGACACACACTTTCTTCCTCCTAATTTCCCCACAACAGCAACCCTGTGAGGTGGGTTGGGCTGAGAGAGAAGGACTGGCCCAAAGGCACCCAGCTACTTTCATGGCTAACGCAGGACTCGAACTCACAGCCTTCTGCTTTCTAGCCCGGTGCCTTAAGCTCTGGGCTGAACTGCGTCTTAGATCAGGATTCATAGCTTTGATCATGTCAGGAAGGAGGGAGGGAGGGAGCAGGTCGTGAAAGAGAAGGGTCTTTGCATGGCCTGGCCGCATGACACACCCCAAACAGGCAGAAGAGCGCCTTCCTTCCTTCCTTCCTTCCTTCCTTCCTTCCTTCCTTCCTTCCTTCCTTCCTTCCTTCCTTCCTTCCCTTATGTATTATTGAATTTGTCGGCTGCCCCTCTGGCAAAAGGGTAGCTCTCATACCTCCGTGTATTTCCGTGCCTCCTTCCCGTCCTGACCCGGGGCCCGGCCAGGCCTTCTGAAGGACCCAAAGAAGAGGGGTCTCTTTTAGAGCAGCCAAGCCGTGCTCAGAATCAATGAGACAACGATGCCAAGCACAGAAGCAAACTTTTAATTAGGTGAAATGCTTCCTCGGCCCGGATTCATTGCGAGGGAGCTACTCGGAGGACCAGCAGAGGCCCTCTGAAAAGGGCTACTCTTTTCACAGAAGAATGGACAGGGACCAACCCTTTCTCCACTGTTCTGAGATGCCAGGCCAGGATTGCATGGAAAGGCCTATCGAGACTTCCCAGATTGGCTCTTTCTGCTGCAGATCCTTAAAAATAAGAGCCCCCGCTTCTCCTGCTGATACAATAAAGGAGGTTCTGACAGGGTAGCGGATACCCCTTCAGCCTTGGAGAATCACAGTAGCGCGTGAAGAAAGTCCGTGGCGGATGCAAGATCCTTCGTCCCAACGTTTGCAGTCCGGGCTCTCACTCTTCCCTCCCCCGCTGAAACTTCTTCAGGATCCGGAGGCGGATTTGTTTGGTCCTCACACTGTAGACAATCGGATTCATCAAAGGAGGCGCCAGCACGAAAGCGTTGGCGATGAGGATGAAGGCGATGCGGGGCGCCTGCCTCCCAAAGCGGTGGATCATGCTGAGCCCGAGCATGGGGACGTAGAAGCTGCAGACAGCACAGAGGTGGGAGATGCAGGTACTGAGCGCCCGGAGGCCTTCCTCCTTGGAGGCGACTCCCAGGACGGTCTTGAGGATCAGGAGGTAGGAGAGGACCAGCAGGATCGAGTCCACCCCTGTGGACGAGAGCATCACGAACAGGCCGTAGACGTTGCTCTTCCTCCTATCGGAGCGAACCAAATTCAGGAGATCCGGGTGCAAACAAATGGAGTAAGAAAGCACATTCACCCTTCCGAATTCCTGGAGGCTCATAAGGATGGGAGCGGGCAGCACAAGGCAAACGGACCGGACGGCGCCTGCCACCCCGATCCTGACCACCGTCCCATTGGTCAAAATGCTCGTGTATTTCAGAGGGTTCCGGATGGCCACCAAGCGATCGAAGGCCATGGCCAAGAGGATGCCAGATTCCATAATGGAGCAAGCGTAGATGAAGGCCAACTGGACCAAGCAGGCCTCCAAGCGGATCTCGAGGTGGTTGAACCACAGGACGCTCAGCATGGAGGGCAACGTGGCGAAGGACAAGCCCAGGTCCGAGAGGGCCAGCATGGACAGGAAGTAGTACATGGGGGAGTGGAGGGTTTGCTCCGTCCTGATGACGAAGAGGATGACGCCGTTCCCCGCGATGGCCACCACGTACAGGCAGCAAATGGGGAGGGAAATCCAGAAATGGTGTTTCTCCAGCCCAGGAAAGCCGGTCAGGAGGAAAACGGGGCGGCTGGAGTCGGAGAGGTTGCCGAACATGGGGATACCTTGGGATGGTTTTCCTCCCCTGGAAAGGAAGAAGACGGGGAGCCCTTCAGCCTCGGCTTGTCTCAAGCGGCAGGTCTAGCCAGTGTTGACCTTCATGGCTGCTGGCCCTGTAGAAATTGGGGTCCGGCTTCCAGGTGTGCCGGACCGACCACGCATTGCACCCACTTGGGAGGGGGAGTTCTGGCTACAGCTCCAATGGAGAGCTTGACGACCTGCTTTCTTCTCTCCTTACCTCCTGGTCTGCCCTCATTACGGCTTATGCTGCACACACGCATGCACCGGGCAGGCGGGGTGGCGGGGGGGGTGGCAGGTGTTTGCTTGCAACCTCCCAATCTTTGCTGCTCTTTCTCTCACCTCTTCTCTTACATTCCTCAACCCTCCCCCCCTTCTTACCTTCCTGGAGACCTTCAGCTCAACCCCCCCTCCCCCCCCAGTTTAGCTCATATTCTCTACGTGAGACAAGCAGCAGCCGAAAACACCTGGAAGAATCTGGGTCCTCTGTCTCGGCTGCTTCCCCGGTGGAGGAAGACCTCCGGCTGCCGCTCAGGGCTCCCTCCTCGGGTCCTCCTGATGCTGCTGATGCTGCTCTGTTCCTTTCTTATTTCATGGCTGGGGATGATGGTGGCAGTGGGAGTTCCCACCACCCAGGAGAAGAACCAAATCCGATCCGCCCGGCCACGGCAAGCCCTCCCTCTTCTCCACACGGTTTAAAGCTGCCTCCTCCTTCCACAGGGAAGGCTGGCTCAGCTGCTGCCCAGTGGGGCTTCTGGCTCCCGGCTGCCCTTGGCTGCCCCAGAGGTTTCCCCCAGGTTGGGTTGCTTGGGTGGGAGAGCAGGGGCCCAGCTGAGCCGCTCAGACCTTGAGAGACCTTGAGAGCTCCTGGCAAGGGATTTTTTTGTGCCTGGCCTCTGCTCCACCTGTGACCTCACCTGGTGTTGAGGTAATTCCCCGTTAGGAGAATGAGCGCGCACAGGGAGACGTAGTGAGAGTGGTGAAGAATGACACACAACCAGCACACAGATACACTGTATAGTAAAATGTAGGTTTTTACTCCCAGTAAAAACGGTTAAGCAAAGTTCAACAAACAGTCCAAGTCATTCACGGTGAAAGCAGTCAGTTTTCAGTCCAGGGATAATCCAATTAACAAAGTCCAGTATCAAAAACGGTTCAGTAAAAGACTCGCATCAAATCCAAGAATAACGATGATCAGCAACAGTCAATAGGGAAATGCAGGAAAGGCAGCACTCTCGGAAACCAGGTTTCTGGCTCCATCTTATGGCCATTCGAGGAACCACACCCAATTACACTTTTAGCATTCCCTTAAAGAGACAGTATTAAAATGTTTATCCTGGTTTATATATTTTCCAACCCAACTGTTAGGTGACTTACATTCCTGACACCTGGCCCTGTAAACCCTCCCCCTCCCTTCCCCCCTTCTCTATCCCACCCCCGTGTAGCCACTCCTGCACCTCTTGAAGTCGGCTGTGGCTCACCGACACTTTGAATGGACTTTGAATCCGAAAGGTGCCACGGGGCTCCTTTGGTGGTCCTGGGAAGGGTGGCCAAGGAGAGCGGGAGGGGCACTCTGAGATGCCCAGTGCTGATGGGCCTCCTCCTCCTCCTCTTTGTCCCACGGGCACTTTCCCACCAGCCTGGCCGGTGAGGACCCCCCCCCCCCACGCCTCTGACTAGCCAAGGGCTGCCCCTGCCGGAGTGTAGCCAGGCTTCGTGCTTTCTTGTCTTGACCCCCAGCCACAGGTCCCTTTCGAAGGATCTGGGCAGCACAGAGGCTGCGTCCACCGAGTTTGGGAGGTGGAGGTTCTGCTTGATGCTGCCTCGGCCAGGCCACCCTTGGAGTCCAGCATCCAATCCCAGTCACTGTGAAGCAAAAAGGCAGCCGAGACCCAAGAAAGAGGGCAGAGAAAGAGCCAGGAAGAGCATCCTTCGGATTGGCCGAGTGCTGGCCAGAGGGGCTCCCTCCTCCTCCTCCTCCTCCTCCCCCCAGGTAAGGCAGCACCTCTTGAAGTGGAGCCTCTAAAGCGAACAAGTCCCCTGACGGACCCCGATGGAGCCCAGCGTTTCTCTTGATGAGCGAGACAGTTGTCAAGTGAGTTTTGCTCTGGTTTATGACCTTCCTGGCCACATTTGTGACATTGCCAGTGTAGTCGTTAAGTGAGTCTGGCTTCTGTACTTTGACTTTGCTTGTCCAAAGGTCGCAAAAAGTGATCCCTGCAACCGCCATCAATTTGAACCAGCGGCCAAGTGCCTCACCTAACCTAACGTTGATGGTGAAGATTCGTAACTGTGAAAAACAGTCATAAGTCACTGAATGACCTGTTGCAAGTGGGGGGAGGGGCTTCCAACATGGGCCAGTCTTGCCACTGCAGGAACGTTTTGTGCACCTTGTGCGGAAGGGCAGGATAGGTTGGAAGGGGGCCTGGGGGGCTTCTGAGGCCTCCCACCCCCCCTCTGGGTGAAGGGCCCCTGTCTCTCTGCCAGGCCTCCCCCACCCCTCCTGATGGACCCTCCGGGCTCCTTCCTTTGGCTGCTTCCACTGGCAGTTCGGATCCTGAAAACCCGGTTGCCTCGGGGGGGGGGGGGTAGCCGACCGACTGCTGGGGGGGAGCAGACAAGAGGGGGGCTGGCCGGAGAACCCCCCCAAGAGGCCATCGCGCCGCGGCCGGGCCGGGAGCCCGGGCGCCCCCCCCCCCCCCAGCTCTAGGCCAGAAGGATCGTCCCCAGCTGCCTCCTGGGCTCTGCACTCCAGAGACCCGTTTCCTGCTATTTAAAGCCACCCCGAAGGAGGAAGCAAAAGAGGGGGACCGTCAACCCCAGACAGAGACTTGGGGGCCGGCAGAGCGTGCCAGTGTCTCTCTCCGAAGATTGAGGCCTTTGGCCAAGTGCTCCAGTGGTCCGGAAGGAGCTGTCAGTTCTCCTGGCAAGGGCAGCGCCATGGCCGGCTCAGGGGCCCTGCAGTACCTGTGAGCTGGAGGGCGGCCAACACTCCTGGGCAGAAGACAGAGGATCTCTGGGGTTGGCCCTCAGGCTGCCTCCCTGCCCTGCCCTGGAGCCCTTCTCCTTCCCAAAGACCCCCCAGGCCAACGCCACAGATGGAGGGGTGAAAGGATCACCAAGGAAGACACGGCTTGTTCCAGACCCTTCTGGGCAGAGCCCTGGCAGCCGGGAAGCTGTGGCACACAGAGGATCAGGCACTGCTAGAGAAACACCAATTCAACCAGGTAAGGCATGCTCAGGTGACTCCGGGACCCCTGGGTCGGGGGGATTAACTCCCCCCAAACCGTTTGAGAACCGGCAGGGCCATTGATTGAAACCTTTGAGGAAACCTCGAGGACCAGGCAAAGGAAAGGAAAACGAATGGTGCAATTAACAGAGCCAGCACAATTTGTTTGAAATAGGTCACGCCAGACAATTTTCACTGCTTTTGGGGGGACATTGTGATTAAATTAGTGGACCAAGGGGAGGCTGTGGATGGGATGTACTTGGACTTCATAAGGCCTGTGACCAAGCAGACTGCAACCTCCTATTATATTATTATTATTATTATTATTATTATTATTATTATTATTATTATTATTATTATTATTATTATTATACACAAAAATGACAGTGTATACAGCAGACGAGATAACCATGCTGGGTTTCGTATCACCAATCACTAGTCGAACCCTTCCCAAGCGTTTAGGACTGTGTGATGTATCGGTGGATTATGCAAGCAGATCCCAGTAAGGTGGCCTTCTGCAGCTGACCAATGGGGATCTTGTCAGCTCAGTTGTTTTTAAGGGCTTGCCTAGGTCTTTAGGCACAGTAGCACCCAGTGTGCCCAGTACCACTGGAACCACCTGCACTGGTCTATGCCAGAGTCTCTGCGGTTCGATTCTCAAGTCCTGATACCTGGTGACTTTTTCAAGTTGTTTCGTGTTGATTCTGCCATCACCAGGTATGGCAATGTCAACGATCCACACCTTGACCCCCCACGGGGTGCCGCCTTCACGTGGCAGGGGGGGTGGCTTAACTGCTCCAATGAAGCTGAGAGCTGTGCTGGTGGTAGTGCAAACTACCAGCAGGTCCAACCGTGCCAGAAAGGCCTCGCCCGAGGAGCAGAACTGAGGGCACCCAACAACCCATGCAATGAATCATGGTGAAACACAACCGAACGAAGCCTATACCGGCTCGGTCATCGCCCAGGTTAACAAGGACCGCGTCGGGTGTTGGGGAACCTGGGCATCTGTCGACAAGGGGGCTACAGGCCACGGGTCCCATAGCTGAGCAACCAGGGCCATGAGCAGCCATACACCATGTCAGAGAACCGCACTGTAATGAAATGCTACTACAAAGCAGGAAAATGATGATGATGATTAGAGCAATTTCCACTATTATATATAAAATTTCCAGGTCCACAATGACAGTGTCCTGTCTGGTTACAATCTCTTTTAAATACAAATAACAAACTTTACACACACATTAATTATAACCATTATTCACTCAATCTATACACCATAATCTTCACTTGTTAAACAGTTTCCATTATTTAATTAAACACTCTGTTCAGTTTTATCATATAGTTAATTAATATCAGACCTTATCAATATCACATTTATCACCATTATCCTCCAAATCTAATAGTCATGTTTCCGTATCCTATTTATTCAACATTCATTATTTAGTTATACATTTACTTCATTTTTATTTACATGTCCTCTTCGGTTTTAATTTCCTGCCTCTGTTTTCTAACCATTGGTAAAATCGTCCCCCAGTTAAAAAGTATTCCGTGTCCTTCTCATCCTTGATCTCCAAAGTTAATCCAGTCATTGCAGCGCTCCCTCTTGACGAGCTGGAGCAAGGGGGCCGATGGTCTCACTGGCCGATGGAATCGCAGTTGGCCGAACAACCCTGTTCAGGATAACAAGACAACGTAATAACTGAGTGGGACGGGAGCTTCGAGGTCTTCTAGCCCAACCCCCTCCTGCTCAGGCAGGAGACCCCACATCGTCTCAGGCAAAGGGCTGCCCAATCGCTCCTTAGAAACCTCCAGTGAGGAAGAACCCACAACTTCTGGAGGTCAGATGTTTCCCTGGTTAATTGTCCTCCCTGTCCGGAAGTTTCTCCCAAGTTCTGGGTTGCTTCTCTCCCCGATTAGTTTCCATCTGTCGCTTCTTGTCCTGCCTTAGACATACCCAGTTCCTGCAAGCGTCCATCGTATATTTTAGCCTCCAGTCCCCCAATCCTCTTGGTTGCTCTTCTCTGCTATCTTTCCAGAGCCTCAACAACTTTTTTGCATCACGATGAACAAAATTGGGTGCAGGATTCCACGTGGGGCCTGACCGGTGCAGTATAAAGCAGTAGCAACACTTCCCGTGATCTCATTCTGTCCCTCCGCTAGTGCAGCCCGGGACTGCGCTGGCCTCTTGGGCCGCTGCCCCCCATCGGGGTGATTGCCTCCCAGACCCCGCTCACGGTTACTCCTGGGGAGCCAGGGGCCACCTATCCTCCACTGGTGCTCTTCTCTGCTCCTTGCACGAAGGTCCCTGACGATTCCAAAGGAAACGGGCATTGTCCTTTCACCTCATGCTGGGCCACGTTCAACCTTCAGTCTACCAGGATTCGCGTAAGGAGCCCTGCTAAGCCCAGCAGCCCCCACCCTGCCGCTCTGCATGGGGACTTTCCCGCCAAAGGGCAGCAAGCTGCATTCCTGGTCACTGAGCAGCATCTGCTCAGTGTGTTCAACTCCACGAAAACCTTTGTGAACCTTGAGCCTGTATCTTGGGGGGCCAGCAATCTCCCCCAAAACTTGGTGTCGTCTGCTGTCGTCTTGCACACCTCCCTTCTATTCCCCCAGGGGAGAAAATGCTGAAGGGGAGGGGGCCGGAAACTGACGTACCCACCGCAGAGCTCCCTCCCTGGGGACAGGAAGGACCCTCCCTGGACTACGGGTGTCCAGCCAGCTGGGATGGCCTCCTGGAGGGGAAAGCGGGTTCCTCACCCTGGAAGGCCTTGCTAAGAGGGAGGGAAGAAGGGAGGGAGGGAGGGAGAGGTTGGAGCTTCCCAAGCCAGGGGCAGCTGATCTGCCCATAGATGAGGCTGGAAGGTTGTCAGGGAGCAGCAGAACAAGGGAGCTACTGCCAGACCCGTTTCCCTCCTGGTGGGCGGGGGGGCGGGGCGGGCCTTGGACTTTGAAAGGTCCTTCAAGTTCTTCCCTTGGACCTACAAGACTCCAAGGAGTCTGATCTCCGAGGGATCAGGGAAGACCCACTTCTGTGGCTGCTCTGCACCTGTGGGTTCTCCTGTCAGGCTTTGTCCCAACTTGGCCACTTAGGAAAGAAAGACCCTCGACTCCCTCGTTGAAGCGAAAGGTTCCCTTGTGCTAAGTCCAAGCAGATACAGCCCAAGCAAAGCTGGATCTGAATATTTCTGGGCCAAACCTGTATTTCCCCCCCACTTCCCTCCAATAAGTATTCGTGTTAGATGGGAAAGGCTTTGAAGTTTGGTGCCTCTTTGGTGGAGTTTCGAATTCTGACCCCGCCGTCTGTCCTCGATCGACCGGTTCGTTCCCGATTGACACCTCTAGTTCCTGTCACCCTGTCATTCCCTCCCTTCCTTCCCCTGCCGATTCCACCCTCTCCCCTCCCCCTCCCCTGCATTTTGTGGCAGGGTGCCAGCGAGGCAAGGTAGGCTGAAGGTGGCAGGCGTGGCCCTTGTTTCAGGAGCTGCAGGGGAGGATGGGCAGAGCACCTGAGGGAGCCACGTGGCCTCTGGGCCAGGCGAGGATTGCTGGGATACAAGAACCGACCGACGGGTGAGGGAGGGAGGCAGGTGTCAGCCCAGGGTGGGTCCCAGGTGGCCCCTCAGGAAGCCCAGAACTCTATGACCATCCAAGACCGTCTTTTGTCTTTTCCAGCCGGAGGCCACTTGGAGCGCGCCAGGTGGGAGGCCTGCCATGAGGGCCCCGGTCAACGGCACAGCAGACCTGGGCCAGGCCTCCTTCATACTGGTGGGCATTCCTGGCCTGGAAGCTTCCCACCGCTGGATCGGCTTCCTGCTCTGCCTCATCTACGTGGTGACTTTCGTGGGGAACATCACGGTGCTCCTGGTCGTCAATATGGAGCCTGACCTCCACAAGCCCATGTTCCTCTTCCTCTGCATGCTGGCTGTGAACGACCTGCTCCTCAGCACCACCATCCTGCCCAAGATGCTGGGCATCCTGTGGACGGGCTCAAGGGAGATCGGCTTCCGTGCCTGCCTGCTTCAGATGTACTTGGTCCACACCCTCTCCATAGTGGACTCTGCCCTCTTGTTGGCCATGGCCTTCGACCGCTATGTGGCCATCTGCCGCCCACTGCACTACGCAACCATCCTCAGCAACACAGCGGTTGCCAAGATGGGGTTGGCAGCCATTGCCCGAGGGGCGATATTGGTCATCCCCTGCCCTGCCCTTCTCCAGAGGCTGCCCCACTGCTTCCGCAAGGTCATCCCCCACGCCTACTGTGAACACATGGCCTTGGTCAAGCTGGTCACCTGTGCCAGTACACTGATCAACCGGACCTATGGCATTTCTGTGGCCGCCTTGGTGGTGGGGCTGGACCTGGGGCTCATTGCCACGTCCTACGCTATGATCCTGCAGGCCGTCTTCCAGCGGCCATCGCGAGATGCCCGGGCCAAAGCCCTGGGCACCTGTGCTGCTCACACCTGCATCATCTTGGCATTTTACGTGCCCGCCCTCTTCACCTTCCTCACCCACCGGATTGGCAACCACGTCCCTGCTTGCCTCCACATCATCCTGGCCATCCTGTATGTCCTGCTGCCCCCCATGCTGAACCCGCTGGTGTACGCGATGAAGACTCAGCAGATCCGCCTGCGAGCGCTCGGCCTTTTCCACCTGGGAAGGAAGGCGAATGGGTAGCCTGCGAAGCGAGGGGAGGAGCGGAAGCTGGACCTGGTGCCAGGCACGGGTCACCCCCCCACCCCCCCAGAGCTGTAGGCCCCGTGGCAGCTCCGCCTCAGAGCCGGTGGATTACCTGGACCGGGTTCAGTCTGGGGGGGCAGGGCGCATTCACCACACACTTGCTGATGGCCTTTGGCAGAGCCAGGGCTGGGTGATGCCCCACCCTTGCGTCCCCTGGTCTTTCAGAGGCTGCCGATACGTCAGCCGCGATGTCCTTCTGGACCGGAAGCCCCTTGATTCCCCTCCTTCCTCCGTGGTCGGCTCCAGGCAGCCTTGATGGGAGGGAGGGGCACCCTAGACACCCGGTCCCTCCCATGTAGGGTGCTCAGGTAAAGAAATGCCCTTGAAAATAATGACCCAAGGGGTGAACAGTTGCCCAGTTACCTTAAACAGCCCTTTGTGGCCGAGTGGGGCTTGGAGGAGGAGGAGGAGGAGGAGGAGGAGGAGGAGGACTGGGTTGTTTTCTTGCAGACCTTTCATGACCCAACCTTTAGTGCTACAAGGGAGGGGCTTTGCACAATCCTCCCTCCCTTCTAGCACTGATGCTGTTCCCTAGTTGTGTCATGAAACGTCCGCAAAGAGACCACCTAGCTCAGAGAGCACCAAGGACCACAGTTTCAACCCTGAGTTGCAAATGCCGGCAGACGGATCTCGGGAAGACGCCTGTCCTGCTGCGCGGGGCGGGGCGGGGGGGGACCCTAGCAAGGCAGCCTCCTGGTCAGCCACAGGAAGCAGAGCCCGTTTCCTTCAGCGGGGGGAAAAAAACGAGGGAAGCTTGCTTAGATCGGGCTGAGCAGCATCCTGGCCACAGCCCAGCAACCCGAAGGCACGGCTGGCCCGTCGCACGGTAGGCAGAGATAAGGAAGCGCTTAGCGCCTGTTTATCTCCCTCGTCCTTTGCCTGCTTATCTCCATCCTTGGCACCTGCTTCGTAAGCCGTGGCCTGCTGGTAATCTCCCTATGGAGTGGGTGGGGCCTGTCTCTTGCAGGGGGCGGGGCCTTTCGTCGGACCCCTGCTGACCAACCCAAGGAGGCTGGCGAGAGGCTGAACGGGGGGGGCTCCAGCCAGGAGCCAGGAGAGAATTCCAAAGCGCCACAAATTTATGCCCTGCAACCTATATACAAAAATCTGACCTACGTGCCTCCAGGTAAGGAGTTCAAGTGGGGCTGGCCCTGGGTCTCCAGGCTGACGGTGCACTTGACCCCGCCCTCCGCCTGGTCATCTCCTACATCAGCATCCAGAAGGTCTATGGAGCTTCTCTGTCATCCAGGTCACGATGGTCCCAGAGGTGCTTTTCCAAAAGGCAACTGGACTTTCTTGGGTTTTTTTCCCCTTGAAAGCGTTTTGCTCCTCACCCAGGGAGCTTCTTCAGTTCTCAGTTCAGCTCAGATTCTTCAGAACTGAAGAAGCTTCTTGGATGGGAAGCAAAATGCTTTCAAGGGAAAACCCCCCCCCAAGAAACTCCCGTTTCCTTTTGAAAAAGCCCCTTTCGGACGAGGGTGAGAAAGAGGCCGCAGGAGGAAGGGGGAGCCGGACTGGCTGGGCAGGTACCGCAAGGCCACACGGGATCCCCATCCCGGCAGGCAGACACCCAGAGAAGCTGCTGGAAGCCAAGAAGAAGGAAGAGAGGAGCCCCCGTGAAG